TTTAAACATGTTATTCTATATGAAATTGAATTTCAGAACATAAAAATAGCTAATTGGTATCACCATGTGATCAATCAATAACAGAATTGGTATAAATATCAAAAATATCAATATAATCAGTGATAAATTTGCTTTATGAAAAGAGGATCAGACAAATTAAGATAATTCAATTTATTTTGAAAGACTTGGTTAGTCCACAAACATTGCAGAGTAACTACAAACATTGATAATGAAGAAAAAAGTAGAGAATAACAAAAGTAGGCAGCAGCAGGAGGAACTAGGTCCATAATACAGGCAATTAAATATTAATTAACACAATGACTGCCACATCACCCATATATGGGTGATGCGGCCTTCTCATCCTAGGTTTTGTCACCCAAATTTGGATGATGGCTTTGCCATCCATATGTGAGTGATGCTACATGTTATTTCCTATTACATTTAAAATCTATGGCCTAATCTGAACCATTTTTTAAATGTTAAATGAATAAATTTTTTCATTTAAATTGTTAAAAATTTTTTCTGTACTTAATTTTATCATTTTATCTATAATATAGACTGTATAAACACATTTATTTTGCTTTATACATATGATTGGTTCATTGAAAAAAATGAAAATATTTATCGGATACTTTTATACAATTGAAATAAAACTACATTTCCAAGTACTAAAAAAATATTTTGATATATATATATGTTACAGTCAAAACCCGTTTTAACTAGTTGAAACTAGTTTATACTGAATGTCTTTGTTAAAACCCGTTTTGTCTAGTTGAAACTAGTTTATACTAGTTTATACTGAATGTCTTTGTTAAAACTCGTTTTGTCTAGTTAAAACTAGTTTTAACTCAAATTCATTTTTGACTACAGTAAATTCTAGTTTTAACTAGACAAAACCAGTTTTGTCTAGTTAATTTACTGCTGTACATGTTTTGACTTTAGATAAAACTAGTTTTAACTTTTAACATTAGTTAAAACTAATTTTAGCTACATAAATATGTTTGGGGGAAATAAAGTTATGTATAGTGATTCGGCGGAAGATGCCTAACATTTTGCTTATGAAGAAAATTACAGCGCTAATTTGAGTTTAGGAGCCCTCTAATGAAAATATCATATTCTGGAGTATGTCTTTCAAATAAAAGTTTGGAGTTTATTTTAAAAAATTCTATACTGTGTTTGCAATGACGACTTTTTCACTGTCTGGCATTTTAAGCATCTCACCCCAAGTATCTGGGTGAGATGCCAAATGCCATTAGGGTAAGATAACAAATATAATTGCTTAAAATTAATTTTTGAATTTCTTAACCAAATTTAATTTATTGCATATGTAGTACAAAGTACTTCATAGTAAGTATAACAGCACAGTATAAGTATTGTTAAGTTTCCGCCCGTTCTAACGTGTTCTATAGCTAGCTGAAAGCTTTTTTCAGTCCAAAAACTTTTTTGAGAAGTCCTTATATAATTTCTATGCATATCCTGCAATAAAACGAGAAAACAAAAGTTTATTAAAAATAGGCATATTGGAAATCAATTAACAAAAAATAGGCACGTTACCCCAAGAAAAATGTGGCATATTTTCCATTTGTTGGGGTAAGATGCCTAGTAGAGTCACGTGCTCCAGCATGTCCGATCGGGATCGGCGGTAGCTGACAATGGAAACTTTAGAACCTTAACTACATCACACATTAATTGTTTTTAGCAATTTTTAATAAATTCCATTTTAACTTTTAGTTTAAAATTATTCTAGAAACATTTCACAACAAAAACTTCGTTCTTATCTAGCTTTTATTCTTCTCGGATGTAGAAAATGAAGTAACGGTAGCCAACTACAGCTTTCCGCACTCAATATTGGCCCAACGATTCATCATACAAATACATGACAATATGTGACGTCACCGTTTGAAAATATCAAAAATTAGGCATCTTCCCCCGCTTACCATCTTACCCCGAATCACTCTATGCGTTGCAGTCAAACCAGTTTTTAGTTAGGATGCGTTTTAACTAGTTAAAACTAGTTTATACTGGATGTCTTTGTTAAAACCCGTTTTGTCTAGTTAAAACTAGAATTTACTGCTAGTCAAAAATGAATTTGAGTTAAAACTAGTTTTAACTAGACAAAACGGGTTTTAACAAAGACATTCAGTATAAACTAGTTTCAACTAGACAAAACGGGTTTTAACAAATACATTCGGTATAAACTAGTTTCAACTAGTTAAAACGCGTTCTAACTAAAAACGGGTTTTGACTGTAACATATATATAAATTAATAAAAATCAAAACAAATAATAGTTATAAATTACATCACACTTATATGTTTACAGATAATATTTACAAAAAATATTTTCTACTTATACAGTGGTACCTCAGGATACAAAATTAATCCGTTCTGAAACTGAGATTGTATCATGAAAATGTCGTAAGGTGAATCATTTTTTCCCCATACGATTACATATAAAACCAAACAATTCATTCCAACATGAAAAACACACTCAAATTAAAGCTAAGTAGTACATTAAAAAAAATAACTATAGTAAGGAAAACACTGAAAAATGCATTTTGTAGTTGTAAATGTATAAATAACCATAATAAAATAATAATTGATAAAAAAGAAATGTAGTTTGATTTGCACTTTACCTTTGAGGATAGACGACGGTGGAGGTGAAAACTGGTTGCAGAAGAGAGGAAGGAAAATGATACTAAAACTTAACTTACATAACATAATGTAACAATAGCTTAAAAATAACTTAGAAAAGATAAAAAAATTAATGTTGTTTTATATATTTTTTAAAATTTTTATTCATTGCTTTTTGCTTTCTTTCCTTCACTTCCACCAGCACTTTCACTGGATAGAGGTCACTTGGTAAAATATCTATCCAAAGAGGTTTGGCTTTGCCTACTTTTTAAAATGTTTCTAAAATGACTTAGGCAAATGTCATTACTCCAAGCAGCAATACGGCCAATGTAAACCTTTTCATGATGTTTCTTTTCAATAAAATCAGTCACTTTCTGATAATACCTCAAGATTTCCTTTATCGAGCAAGATCTTTCCACGATGAAGCAGACACGCAGACTGAGACTGATGAACAGAAGTGAATAAAAAATGGTGCTGCGAACTAATGTAACATCGTATGGTGAGTTTTTGTTCGTATCATTGAGCAAAAATATGTTCGAATTTCATGTCGTATCCTGAAAATTTCGTATGCTGGGGCATTCGTATCCTGAGGTACCATTGTATTAGCTGATTATTGAATACAAATTGAAATTAAAAATTGAGCAATTAACTGGAAATAAAATTTGCTTAAAGTAAAGGTGCTATATAAAATAAAATTCAGGTAGATAATTTTATTTATTTAATTTTTTTACTTACTTGCTTCAATTTTATTTTATATAACACCTTTACTTTAAATAAATTTTTATAATATATCCAGTTAATTGCCCAATTTTTAATTTCAATTTATTTTCAATAATCAGCTAATATAAGTAGAAAATATTTTTTGTAAATATTATCTGTAAACATGTAAGTGTGATGTAATTTATAACTATTATTTGTTTTGATTTATTTATAACTATTATCTTATAGAAAATAAGGACTGAAGAGGGGTCATTAAGACTCAAAATGCACATCCACATCCAATAATAAAGTCTATATCAATAAGAGTTCCTTGTATGATGTAAGTTACCGAAAAAAAGGCAAAAATTTTAAGCTTAAAAAAATCCACAGAAACTAGTAACGGAAATGATCAATTAAAGTGTTTAATTATGGTATAATATTGTATTGTTTAAATTTAAAATACAATAATGATCTTTAGAGCAGATAAAAATATGACACTTAACTTCAAAATTAGTTATATTGATGTTAAGTATCATATTCAAATAAAATAAAAAACTATCTTTCCAAGTTAAATAATTTTAATTATGAGAAGATAAATGCAGTCATTTATCATTAAAAAAAATTCTTACTTTATTGATTGATCATTAATCAGAAATTAAATATTTTATCTAAGCTTAAATTACATTAATTTTTATTCAATAAAATGATGGGGACAATAAGTAAAAACCTAGAAAATTTACAAAAATTCTATATAGTGAGAAGTGAGAAGACACACTTCAAAGTAAATTCTATTGGAGAATTTGTGTAAATTTTTCTAATTTTATTTAGAGTTTTGAACCCTGTATAATTAGTTATACAGGGTGTCCCAGAAGTCTTTCCCTGATTACAAACGTGCAGAAGGCAGAAAATATGACACACAGACACACATCTTTTATCTTGAATTGCAGGTAACATATTCAAGTTTTTGTGTGTACATACATACTCACTGTTACTTTGTTTGTTACAGAATAATCACAGCCAATACCTATCTTGATATGTTGCAGTTATTTGTTGTGCCACAGATTCAGGACATTCTGGACTTAATTTTCCAACAAGACGGTGCGCCACCTCATTGGAGGTTAGATGTTCCTGCCTATTTGGATACAGCATTTCCAGGAAGATGGATAGTGTGTGGTGCTCCCATCAACTGGCTTTGGCAATTGCTGGGGTTGCTCACATTCAATTCCAAGTCCATAGTAGTAGGCCGATGCCTTAACCATCCTGGCCATCTCTAAAATAGCTTTAATAAATTATTTTGGTTTAACCAATAACACCACTGGATGTCTTCCTTTGGAGTTATGTCAAGGATCAGGTTTACCAAACACCAGTGAACAACATCGCAGCATTACAGAGCAGAATTACTGCCGTCATAACATCCATCCCTCACGATATGTTGAATAACACATGGGTGGAGTTGGAATATCACTTGGTTATCCTTCGAGCAATGAAAGGAGCACACATCAAAATTTATTAATATGTATGTATGTACACACAAAAACTTGAATATGTTACCTGCAATTCAAGATAAAAGATGTGTGTCTGTGTATCATATTTTCTGCCTTCTGCATGTTTGTAATCAGGAAAAGACTTCTGGGACACCCTGTATTATGAAATAAAAAATATAACAAACCTCATCAAAATCGCCCCTCACAACATGAACATCACTTGCAAGTGTCTTCAAATAATCAAGTGATTCCTTAGTACACAAATTTCCTGTACATAATATATGTTGAATCCGTCCAGGAACTAATAACTTTTTAAACTTAATAGGTAAACTGTGGCATCTGTGTGGAATATGAAGATCTCCCAAAACAAGAACCAACTGCAATTTAAAAAAAAGAAGAAAAATTAAATAATTGTTTCATTTAATATAAAAAATATTACAATAGCAGAAAATTTTTATTTTACTATTTTATGACATTTAAGCTATTTAAGATAAATTTTTCAAAATTATTTAATATCAACTATTCTAACAATGTAAATTCGTCTCTGTAATCCAAAACACACGCTTTGGTAGACTTTTCTCACAGCAATTTCTGGTTAGCAAATTTAACTTTTATTACTCATTGAACTACAAATATATTTCGGGTTGGTATAATATACTCCAACCCCTCTTCAGTGCTAGTTCAAATAAACAAAAATGTCAAAACATGACTATGTTATATTACATTAAATGAAACAAACCAAAAAAACATCAAAAACACTTACATTTTTTCATTAAGTACATAACAAAATTTGTTTCTTATTTTGCTATTTTCACAAACTATAGGGTAGGAGGGTAGACCGTTTTACAAACATCAGTTTTTGTTTTAACTTAAATACTATGCATGCCATGTTCATATGTAAAGACAAATAAAGACTGCCATAGTNTATAACATAGTCATGTTTTGACATTTTTGTTTATTTGAACTAGCACTGAAGAGGGGTTGGAGTATATTATACCAACCCGAAATATATTTGTAGTTCAATGAGTAATAAAAGTTAAATTTGCTAACCAGAAATTGCTGTGAGAAAAGTCTACCAAAGCGTGTGTTTTGGATTACAGAGACGAATTTACATTGTTATTTAACATACAGCAAACCAACTATATATTAATCAACTATTCTGTTTGATATCAGTACTTTTTTATCACACAGAAAAAAATTACACAATATTAACATACTAATTGGATATTTACCTCAGAATAAAAAAGTTATCTTTATATTTTAAAAAGATTTATTAAAAACAAAAACCATCTTCATAGTGTCTGAAAGTTAATTTTCTCTCCCTCTTTCCACCCTGTAAGCACTAAGAGGGCCTTTTCCATAGTCAACATAAACTCAGCTTAACCCACAATGGAGCAGCTGTGAGAAATAGGACTTGACATATTTGGAAGAGACCACCTGTGAAAAATTGCTGGGGTTGCTCACATTCAATTCCAAGTCCGTAGTAGTAGGCCGATGCCTTAACTATCCTGGCCATCTCTAAAATAGCTTTAATAAATAATTTTGGTTTAACCAATAAATAACTACATTAAAATAATTATAATATTGTTGAGTATTGTCCATTTGTAGTAATAAGAAATGTGAAATATTATAAATTTTTTGAAACAGTTGTAATATTCCCAAAGATTTATAATGAAAATATTTGATATATGTAAACTGAACCATCATATTTGAATTTTATGTGGTCATTAGTATTGTAATAAGGTTATTATTATATCTTGTAATTAACTTGTACAATAAAAAATTTTATTATGCTTTTAATCATTATTTTCAAATTGAAATTTAATAGGGTGGTTCGACATTCAGAATATATTATAAATTCCATTTTACTAGTATACACATTCATATAATTGAGTGGAATGAAAGCAGAACTCTTCATAAGTCAGAAAGTGTTTTGTCTGTGATCAAAAGTTCAAAGCAACTGCATGATCACTGAACATAGTTTTTTGCATATATCTACAATTCAGCAAGGCTAACATCACGATGAAGATGGAATTTTGAAATTCAATTTACAGGCCGAGATATTCCAGGTCAAATTTCTTGATGTAAACCATACAAGAGAATTGCCAGTTGTGAGCTTGTCATATCAATCAAATTTACAATTGCTGTTAATTTACATTGATACTTAAGGCAACTTTTTATTTTAATATTTATTACAGGCATTTAACATGATGATGTTGTGATGAAATTATCTTTTGAAAACTTGCATGTGTCTTTGGTCACATAGGTGCATGTTTAACAGGTTGCTGGAGTTGATAGGCTGTTGACTGCATATATGGATGTTTTAAACATTTCTTGACATTTCTGAAGGCTATGACTATAAATATGCACATTCCCCCACACTTATGGGTTTAAAATTGCTTTAGACAAAACATTAGAAATATATCACCATATTTGTGTTTTTGTGCCATTTTGCATTTTTGTATCTAAAACAGAAAAATCTATGTCACAGAGCTGTTTTCTTTTCCTAGAAAATACTTAATAATTTGTAATTCATTATTAAATCATGAAAATATTTTATGATATTTAATATATCAAAATTTTTGAGATTATTAATTTAATAGTTATACATCTACTAGGGTGTCCACATTAGAATGTGCTGTAAATGTGAGATTTTTTTTTGGTCACAAAAAAATTTTTAAGATATTTAGTATAAAATATATGGTAAATTTTCATATTTTCACTGTAAAGATTTTAATTGATTTAATTGATATTTATAGAGAAAAATTTTCTAACTGAGAAGTCCAAGCATAATGATTATATGTTTTCTTGTTGGTATATTATATCAAAAAGAAAGCTATTATACATAATAAAAAAATATCATTATCAAGAAAATAAAAATGATCTGGATAACAGTAAACCACTAAAAATGGTTCATTAGATGATTTTTCTTCAAATTGAAATATTTAGCTAAAATTTATAAATGATATGGATTGTAACAAAAATTAAAAATTATAGTGTACACACACACACACACATATATTTTAATACAGTACTGGATGAAATATCTGACAAGCTTGGACCAAAAGTGATCCAGATTTCTGAACACAGGCTAATGAATATAACTGTATACATAAAATATAAAATAGAGAATGGAAAGTAAAGAATGAAATTGTATTTAACACACTGTATGCCAGCAGTCACAATAGACCAGGCATTGTACAATATGTAAGACATAGCAACTAAAACATAGGAGCTGCATAGTGAACTACAGCTATACTACAGCCTTTCAAATTAAAAACTTGTTATTTTTCTGTTAATTGAATTTCTGGAAGCTGAATATTTAATCCAGTACTGTACTTGTTACAATCTACTTCATTTAAATAAATAAATAAATAAAATTAAAAATATGATAGATCTAATAAATAAATGTTTTGATAAATTTTAATCTTGTATTGTTTGTAATTTTATCAAAACACTTATTTATTTTTTTTGAATGAAATCACATTCAAAAATTTGATTTTACTGATGTTATAAAGAAACTGGATACAAATGTATTTTGAAATCATGCTTTTAAACAGATATGTTATTTGATTATTGCAATAAACAATAATCAAATAATATATTTGTTTAAAATCATGATTTCAAAATACATTTGTATCCAGTTTCCTTACAAATGTACAGTAAAAAAACAAAATTCTTGCCTGTTAAATTTTCATTTACTGAAGGTAAGACTGGTCTTCTGATCAAAATCTGCTATTTCATCACGGGATAAATCCCATGATGAAATAGCAGATTTGTAGTTTAGAAATAATTTCTAAAAAAATGTTGGTATCTAGTAGCATTGAAAAGTCTCTGCAACAATAATGAAGCTGCATACTCTTGTCAAGTAGCAAAATTATAACCAGAAAATGTTTAATATGCCTACTAATTGAGATATATTTGACATTTTATACATGTATAATTTTAATATATAGATTCATTCAATACATTATCATTTATTTATTATTGACAAACTCAAGGACTACCACCTTTTCAAGGGTCACAAAATTTTAAAAAATTGTCAACCATTTCACCAGTTTAAATTTTTTTTTGCCACTTTAAATTATTTATCATCACTAATTTTACTTACTTATTAATGCAAGTGCTGATAACCATATCAGTTTGGAGTATGGAAACAAAAGTAACTTGCTAAGCTGTCACTTAGAAATAGGAATCATTTCTAAATAATTTTTAATGAATAATACCAAATAACACATTTGATCACAGTGCTTAAACAATACTTCATATGTTCTGTCATGTCAAAATTTTTGTGCTTTATTGAACAAAGATCAAAAATAAAAAAAAAATAAAAAAAATGTCACCCCAAAAAAATCTCCAATCTGGAAATGCTGGTGGCATTGCATGAAAACTGTCTTCGGTTCTCAACGTCACTTCCTGCTTTCCTGTCTGAACTTCCCACATGATGTGATTACATTGCTAGGTGTGTGGTGCACGGGACTCCCATCACATGGGAGTTTGACGTTCTGCTGTTTTTCACAAAGCATGCTTTGTGATTCAATTTCATGCTGAATATGGAAATAAGGAAACTAGTTTTTATTGCCACTTTAATAAAAATATTGCCAAGTGGCAATTTTGGTGCTATGCAGCATGATCACCACCTTTTATATATAATGAAATATAAAAAATGGAAAATACAGTAATTCAAAAATGTTATTTCCCTTTGAATCATAGTTTCTATAGTATTTCCCAGAATAAAAATGGAGCCAATGTGCTCTTCAGTATAGCTTATCAATGAAAATTCTTCAAAATATATTATTTGAATGTTTGAGAAAAACTGAAAACTCAATGACCACACCATACAATGCGAGTCTTTTTTATAATAGCAGATTTTTTGCAAAATTGTCAGAGATTTCAAATAGACTATAACATTTAAACATACAGTATCTTATAATTTTCTAATATACATTCTACTTTGTAATGAACATGGAATTACTTTTCTTTTGGACATGTAATGATATTGGCTCCATTCTTTCTCTGGAAAAAAACTATAGTTGTCTATTTTCATCATTATTATAATTGGTTTGACAAATTTATGTGAATCAGTTAAAAACCTGTAAATTGTTCATAGATAATTAATCAAGCCAAATATGTTTTACCCTATTCCTCATCATCCAGACAACTCTACTGTAGGTCAATCATTTCGAATATGTATTAAAAAAAAAAACCAATTAGTCACATACCAATGACATGCACGTACTTTACACAAACAAAATCAACAAATCAAAGTGCAGAAATTAGTTAATCACCCATGTACAATGATAACTGTTTTCACACACTAACCTTAAAATTAGATATAGTCAACTAGAATCGGTAGCAAATTTACAAATTCTATTCTCTTTTATACTTCTAAATTGAAATGATAGATTACATAAAAATATCAAGATTTTAAAAGTACGAAACAAATTTCAAAAGTGTCTCATCGCCAAAAGGAGAAAATATCTACCCAGTTTAGAATTTGTAGTTTGGCACGTCATCAATTCGCTATCATTACAATGATGATCTTCCTACAACAGAGACCTTCCATGCAGGAGGTTAACTCCCATTTGAAAAGAATTTTAAAGAAGGGGAGGGTCTACATACTTAGTTATTCATTTTTTCAGTATGCATTAAGGTTTTTTAAAACACATTACTTTTTTTTAAGCATGGGCCTAAATACATATTTTTATTAAATGAATTTTAATTTTATAACGAAGTAAAATAAAATAAATCTTCAGATTGCCCTTCCTTTTGGTATAATAAAGTTTAATAGGCAAGTATTTGTTTAAGATAAAAACATGTATATAAGTGTTATAGAGCGAGGGTAGTGTAATGTCTTCTAAATGACTGAAAGAGAAAAATATGTAGGATTAACAAACCATTTTTTGATACAATTCTTATTTGCGATTTCATAAAATGACTAGCAATATTGTTGCATTTATATCGTTATTATTTTGTGGAAATTCGTAGAATATTACTTAATAGTTTCCTAGAATTAATCTAAATACACGTAATAATTTAGTTTTATTTTAATTTTATACGATTAAAAAGTATTTTACCATTTTATCCAATTTCCAATTGACTGAGAAACTCCTACTTTTACCAGCGCCACCTAAATTTTTCTCTCAATCCTTCTTCATAATGACTCGTTTTATTTTTTGAGAATATTAATTAATATAAAATCATTATAAGTTTAACACTTTAGTTTATCGTTAATAATATATATTCGATGTTATTTTTAATTTGTATGTCATATTATATATTTTTTCGGAGGTGGTCCGTTCAAATATGCCGGTCCTTGTCTCTCACTACATTGTGGGCCTGGCCCAAGGACTATATACTACAAGGATAGCAAGATCCCTATTCTACAATGTTAGCCAG